GAAAAGCCCCCCGCCGCCCCCAGGGCCCCCCCCCCCCCATCACCGGGTCCTGGCCCAGCTCAGGACACTGAGGGATGTGACAAGTGACCCCGCGGCGGTGCCCGTCCTTCCCTGGCCCGGGGACAGCGTGTCCTTCTCCGGGCTTTGCCAACCACGTTTCACATCCCCACGGGTGAGGCTCTGCCGAGGGCAGGAAATTCCCACTTCCCCGGTGCTTGGAAATCCCCCCCCCCTCCTCCGCCCTCTCCTCTTCTTCTTCCTCCTCCTCCTCCTCCTTCTGCTTCCTCGGGGCCTCCCGGCCTCAGCCCCAGCAACTTTGCACCGTCGGGACAGGAGCAAAACCCGCGTTAGGGCTTGGTCCTTCCTGAGCCCGTGGCCCCACCAGCACAAGGACGAGGGAAATGATGAATTTCCTCCAGCACCGTCCCAGCTCCTCACGCCCTGAAGCACCAAGAGCCGCCCGAGCTGCTCCCGCTCCCCACCGAGGCTGCTCCAGCCCCGGGAGGTCCCCCCTCACCCCATCTCCCCTCCTCTCCATCCCTTCCCAAACTCCATGAAAGCTGCTCCCAATTCCCACAGAGGTCAGTCCCTCTGCCCCAACAGGTCCCACACACCCATGGTCAGGGGGTCAAGGGCTTCCCGGCCACCCATCCTTCCTCCCCCATCCTCACCCTCCCCACGGCCCCACCACCGATTACCCCAGGGCTTTGAGGCTAATGCCCAACACCTGACCAGCTTATTCTCCTGAGTCTATTATCAGCTTAAGGACCAAAGACATCTGCTCCCCGCTGCCCTCCCAGAGAGCTGGAGGAGTCTTCCAGCCCGGATCAGGAGAGCGAGGGTCCAGTTGACGGGTGTCTCCTCTTGGATGGGTCTCTGAACATCTCACCGCTGAGAGGGGCCACCCCTCGTCCCCGGAGGTAAGTGGCTTCGCTCCTTCCAGCTACAAATGGCATCGTGGGGGTCCACCTGGTTTGGGGGGCACCTCCTCAGTGGGTTGGTGGCACAGCTGGGCTGTGGCTTTCGGCTCCTTGTGCTCTGCCAAAAGCATCTCACGGGGCATCGGTGGGAAGAACCAGTGGGGTTCAGGGCACAAAAGCTTGATGCCAAGGCATGTTTTGCCTTAATCAGGTTTATTTTATTTAAAATGTTATGGCCAGGTTTTCAAACCCAAGTTGAACAGGTCTCGGCAGGGCAGGCCAGCTGTGCAGGAATCTCACATAAAACCCTCGAGTGGGCTTTCAGGAAAACCAGAGTTGGGCTTTTCCTACCCACAAGGCCCCAAAAACCTTCTGTTGCAAGAAGTGATGCCTCTGCCGAGCTCATGGCAATGAAGGGGCCTCAATCCATGTTGGCACTTACCCAGGGAGCGGGTATAAGGAGGGGAGAGAGGGCAAAAAACAGAAAAAAAAAAGATATTTCCTTAGAAAACCTGCAAAGATGCTGTTGCCCAGGCACAGGACACAGATCGGGAGGTCTGCAGACCTGGGCATCCTGGTTCTCCGATGGCGCTGCTCCGACAGCCCCGAGGCAGCGGCTTTTCTCCAGGCTCAGCCAGCCCCACCGAACCGGGCACCTCCTGTCTTGGGGAAACAGCTCCTGTGGTAGCAAAAAAACCTCTTGAAAAATCAGGCTGGATCCTCCTCCGCTGCCCTCGAGCTGCATCTGTCGCTCGTTGTGCCTGCTGAGAACAAGCAAATGAAAATCTGGTTACAGCAGATGTTACAAGAAGGGTTTTGAAAGGTGCTTTCAGCTTTGGGTTATTTCTTTTTTAGCATCAGCCCATGTCTCACCATGGGGGTGGCCGAGACATTAGCGGCGTTCGCAATACTCTCAGGGCAAAGCAATAGTCCTAACGTGCCTTAGAAGCCCATTTATCTACTAATAATGAGCCTTTTCCCTGTGGTTACAGGGCAAAATGGCTCAGGACATGACAGAGAAGGAGCTGCTGAAGATGGAGCTGGACCAGCTGAAGAAGGAGGTGAAGAACGAGAGGCAAATGGTGAGTTTTTCACCCAAAGCACAACGGTGCTGTTCCCCAGGGTAACTTCCTGACCTGATCGTGCTGCGAAGGCAAAAAAAAACCCAAACCCACAACCTCTGAAATGAAACCTCACATAAAGGCACAAGCCTGTGCGCTCGCACCTCTCCCCTCGAGGCAAACGTGCCCCTTGGGCTCAGCCCCACATCCCCAAAGCTGGGAACTGCAGCCCCCCCACGCAGCGAGGTGCCCATAGCACCTCCAGGGACACCCCACTCTGGGTGGGATCCTCACGGCGCCGCAGTTTCTCCCCCCTCGAAGGGGTCTGTGGGCAGCCGAGGAGCCCAGCTCCACAGCCAGGGTTCCTTCCCATCTCCCACACGGAGCATCTCCTTCCTTGGCAGGTCTCCAAGACCGGCAAAGAGATCAAGGAGTACATCGAGTCCATGGCGGGCGAGGACCCGCTGCTGAAAGGGGTCCCCGAGGACAAGAACCCCTTTAAGGAGAAGGGCGGCTGTACGATAAGCTGACCCCCCCACACACCCCCCTGCTGCTGTCGCCGCCGGGCACAGGGATGCTCCCGTGTGTAAGCCAAGACTGTCAGAAACCTGCTTTCCCTGTAGTCTGACCTCAGTGCTGGGGAGTCCAGAACCAAAGCGTAGCACATCTGAAGGATGGCAAACGGAAAAAGAAAAAAAAAAAAAAAAAAACCAACCAAAAAACCCCCAACGAAACAGACCAAAATGAAGAAAAAAAGATAATTACCCCACGGCCACCGGAGATGAGGTCCAGCAGCCAGCCCAGTCTGTGCTTTCGTGCTCCCACAGCTGATTTACGTTTGGTTTCCTGCAAGCAAAACTTCTGCATTTTCAGCTGCAAAGTGGGCTTTAACGAAACGGCAGAGCTGGGTCTCGTCTCCAAGCAGCCCAGCCCCGGTGCCGAGCCCCTGCTTGCTGCAGAAGAACCTCCCAGCACGACCTTCCTCAAGCCATTTCCTCTCGGTGCCTCAGTCTCCCCACCTGGCACAGGAGGGCAATGCCCATCCCTTTGTTTGGAGGCTTCCAGGGGGTCTGAAAGCTTTCTTCTCTTTATTCCTACGCATCCCACCAGCCGGTGACCACCACCATCCTCCACTCCTACAGCCCACGGCTTCACCCACCAGGCACCTTACATCCAGAGCCAGGGGATGGGCATGGGAATGAAGGACCCCCCCAACCAGCTTGTTCAAAACCCTCACCCCACCTCTCCGTCTCACTTCCTCCCCTGGAAACCCCCCAGCAGCTGTGGGAAAGCAAGCCCAGGGCTCTCAGGTCATGCTTGTGACCATGGTGGCTCCAAGCATCGCCGCCACTTCACCATCATCTCCTCTCCGCTGCCACGAGCGGGCCCCAAAGCCTCATCCCCCCGTGTCCCATCGGTGACGGGGATGACCTGGAGCAGGTCGTTTGGGGTGGCAGCAGATCCTTGGAGCAAGACAGGACCCACCAAGCCCTAAGCGAGCAATGCCCAGGCCACAATCCTCCTGCTCCCAAGGGCAGATTTTTTTTCCAGGCCAAATTTCATCCCTTACTTGAAATAAATAAGCACAGCAGCTGGGGCACAACCTGCTTCCAAGTTCAGTAGGGAGATACCTTGGGGAAGATTTGTGGGGTTTGTTTTTTGAGGCTTTTTTGGAGGTGTTTGGGTAGGGATTTTTTTTTTGTTTGCTTTTTTGTTTTGTAGGTTGTTTTTTTTTTTTTTAAATCATACATATTATCTTTAGGAAAACTCTCCAAAACTTCCCCAGACAACCAACCCCCAAACAGAAGCAGCAGCTCTTTCTTATTTCTCAGAGCCCCCCAGGTCCCCTCCCTGCCGCAGTCTGTCCCATCCCGCTTCTGCTTCATGCCAGCCCCCCCAGGACACGCTCCCCCCAGGCCCAGCCAGTCTCTGCTCGGGGGTGACACCCGTCCCACCACACGTTTAGACACAGCAAGGCCACCGGCGGCGAACAAAGGGCAGGAATGAACATCCCCCCAGCCCTTGGAGGAGGCTGCTGGGGAAGAAGCGATGGTGCAGCAGGTTGGGAAGGCCCTGGGTCCACCATAACGCTGGTGGCTGCTGCTGGGCCTCCGGGAGCGCACGGAGACAGGCCTGGGAACAGTTTAAATGCAGGGAAATGGCTTTCAACCCCAACTGGAGTGGCGTTTTCCTGCTTCCAGGCCACTGCTTGATCCCACAGCCAGGCTGGCCTGGGCACCAGGTCCTGGGGGCAGAGGGGGCCCAGCCCCAGAGACACCCCATGGTGGCAGAGGGTGGACACAAGTTCCTCAGTTCCCCACTGCTCCCCCCAACCAGCGCCTGCACGCACCTTCCTAGCCAAAAATAAAAGAGAAAAATAAAGGTGGTTTTGTTCTTGCTCGCAGATGCTAAATAAACCCTCCAGCTCGATTGCAGCCTGCGTCCTTCTTGCAGCAGGGCCTGCAGCCCTGAGGAGAGCGGCTTCTCCCGGGGCCAGGCGGCGCTGGGGAGCCCGGCCTGCCCCTAATCCCTCCGGGTCTCCCGGGATTGACCCGTTAATCGACGTTAAACGGCTGGAAACCTGCGTCAGAGCCGGCTAAGCCGCTGCTGAAGGGATTCGGGACGATTCAGGCCCAACGCCGGCTTAAAGCAGGGCCCTTCCAGCCCAAGGCCCCTCACACCGCCCACTCCCGTCCGCGAACCCGCGACCATGGATCTCCCCTCCGCTCTAACGCTGTAAGGCCGTGGGAGGCGGGGCGCAACGCGCTTCCAGCCAATAGCAGCGCGGGAAGGCGAGAGTGTCAGCCAGCGCGCCCAATCAGCGCCGGCACCACCGCCCTCTGCCCCGCCCCGCCGCTGACACGCATGCGCTGTGAAGAAGCGGCGCCCACGCACAAAATGGAGACACGCATGCGCCGTGAAGAAGCGGCGCCCACGCACAAAATGGAGTCCGATAGGGGCCCGGAGAGTGCGGCGGCCGGGGCGACGGACACCCGGTGCTGCCCTCCCGTTCCTCCCCCGCACACACCGGTTGGCGGCCGCCTCCCGCCGCGTTACCGAAGGATAAAACAAACAAACAAACATATATAAAAATAAGAAAAAGGAATGCGAGGTCCCACCGAGATTTGAACTCGGATCGCTGGATTCAAAGTCCAGAGTGCTAACCATTACACCATGGGACCGCTGCGTGCGATGGACGGAGCCGCAGCTTCAGACTATCCTAACGCCGCCCACGCGTGAATTTTTCACTTCCCCCCCTACACACACAAACCCCCCCACCCCGTGATAACGGGGTTTTGCTGCCTATCTCCCCGCTCCGGTACCCCTCGGTAGCCCGGGGGTGGCCCCACTCTGCTCCACACCCAGCCTTGGTGGAGGGGGGGTCCCGCGTTCACCTCCGTGGGCAGCACCGATGCTGCAAACCCAGGATTCAGCTTCATCCCCCGTAAGGGGGGGGGGGGGGGGGGAGACGGCCCACCCCCCCCCCCCCCCACCCCCG